GTGTCAGTGTGGGTGTGTGTCAGTGTGGGTGTGTGTCTCAGTGTGAGTGTCAGTGTGGGTGTGTGTCTCAGTGTGGGTGTGTGTCTCAGTGTGGGTGTGTGTCTCAGTGTGAGTGTGGGTGTGTGTCTCAGTGTGAGTGTCAGTGTCGGTGTGTGTCTCAGTGTGAGTGTCAGTGTGGGTGTGTGTCTCAGTGTCGGTGTGTGTCTCAGTGTGTGTCTCAGTGTGAGTGTCAGTGTGGGTGTGTGTCTCAGTGTGAGTGTCAGTGTGGGTGTGTGTCTCAGTGTCGGTGTGTGTCTCAGTGTGGGTGTGTGTCTCAGTGTGAGTGTCAGTGTGGGTGTGTGTCTCAGTGTCAGTGTGGGTGTGTGTCTCAGTGTGAGTGTCAGTGTCGGTGTGTGTCTCAGTGTGAGTGTCAGTGTGGGTGTGTGTCTCAGTGTCGGTGTGTGTCTCAGTTGTGTGTCTCAGTGTGAGTGTCAGTGTGGGTGTGTGTCTCAGTGTGAGTGTCAGTGTGGGTGTGTGTCTCAGTGTGGGTGTGTGTCTCAGTGTCGGTGTGTGTCTCAGTGTGAGTGTCAGTGTCGGTGTGTGTCTCAGTGTCAGTGTCGGTGTGTGTCTCAGTGTCAGTGTCGGTGTGTGTCTCAGTGTCAGTGTCAGTGTCGGTGTGGGTGTGTGTCTCAGTGTCGGTGTGTGTCTCAGTGTGAGTGTCAGTGTGGGTGTGTGTCTCAGTGTCGGTGTGTGTCTCAGTGTGAGTGTCAGTGTCAGTGTGGGTGTGTGTCTCAGTGTCGGTGTGTGTCTCAGTGTGGTGAGTGCCCAATGCACTATTTGAAAAGAGAAGGGAGTTTCTCCCAATGTTCTGGTCAACAAACCCCAGATAAAATTGGTCATTCACTTGATAGCTGTTTACGGGATATTGCTATGCTCCTATTGGCTGCGGTGTTTGCCTGCAAATATACAGTCAATTCACTTTACTGTAAATTCTGTGAAGCGCTTTGAGATGTCTAGAAACTTGAAAAGCGCTATATCAAATGCATTATTATTATTATTTACACTTGCTCTTTAGATAATAATAATCCTTGCATTTGATAAAGCACCTTATTACATTTTCTAGACATCTCAAAGAGCTTCACAGAATATACTGTCAAGTGAATTGATTGTATATTTTCTGGGCAAAACGTGGCAGCCAATTGCACACAGCAGTGTCCCACAAACAGTCGTAGATTGAAGTGACCAATTTATTATTATTTTTATTGAAAGAATTATTATCCCTGGAAAAGCGATTTGCCAATCAACTAACAACCAGGTTCCTAGTTACTGCTAGGTAGAGGCGTGTGGAGTAAAGAAACTTGCACAAAATGTTGCCCTGCTGGGAATCAAACTCAGGTCTCTTGCTTGCGAGGCGAGCGCTCTAACTACTGAGCTATCGGACTCCACAATGCGGGAGTAATGGAGGATAGGAGAGTTACGAGTTAGAGGATGATTAATGCAACTAGTGTAAAGAAATCTTAAGTGGTTTCAATAGGAAACTGAATTGGACTTGGGTGGATGTGAAAGGCGTTATATTAAATGTGTTGTTGACACCTTGATTCAAATTCTGAACCAAGGTGTCAATCAAGATTTCTGAAATGGTTCAATTTCTGAATAGACAATTTCTGAATAGTATACAATAAATTTTATAATAATAATACAGTACATTCTGATGTGAAANTTTTTTCATAATATTTTTCATATATGATTTTCTATATTATTACTTGTAAATCTACTGTTAAGCTGCATCTCCATTCTGACCTTATACAAATGCTGAAGTACTTTTTAGCCTAACTTTGCATCGTTTTGAACAGTTGGAAAACTCTGCTCCTCCCCACCACTTTAAAAAAGTGCCTCTGGTAATGGGTACATTTTGTTTTGCTGATGAGAGTTGCTGTAGAATTGATTTTTAAATTTAATTTTTTTTGCTTCAGGAAAATGACTACTGAAGGACCACCAGAAAATGTAGTTCAAGACCAAGTTAGGTCACTTTTGGCAGATGGAAATGTTAAACTGTGGGAGCCTCCGTACACAACCAACAATCAAGCCGGAGCAGACCTGAAAGTAAGTGCCTTAGAGATAGCGACAAAGGGATTTATTGTCCAAATCCTAAACATGAAAGGCATTATACAAATGGAATTTGTTGTTGTAAGTGCTCTGGGATGCGACCCTGCATGAGGGGCACTATATAAATGCAAGTTGTTGGTTGTTAATAGAGAACTTAGGAGGAATTTCTTTGCATGGAGGATATTGAGAATGTAGAACTCGCTGCCCAAAGCAATGGTTGAAGCAGATAGTTTAGATACATTCAAGAGGAAGCTAGACTTTCACTGGAGAGGGAGAAGAGAACAGATAGGCCTGAGAAGAAGGAGTGGGTGGAGACTTGTGGAGCACCGGCACAGACTAGTTGACCCAATGGCCTTTTCCGTGTAAACTCTGGTGTATTTGACTTTACTCTTGAACTACTAATGTGGGATTCTTCATAGAATCATACAGCACAAAAAAAGGCCATTCGGCCCATCGAGTCCGTGCCGGCTCTTTAAAAAGAGCAATGAAATGTAAATCCCACTCCCCAGCCCTTTCCCCATAACCCTGCAAACCCGTCCTCCTCAAATACCCATCCACCGCGTTTTTAAAAGTAGTTACCGAATCGGCCTACGACCACCCTTTCAGGCAATGCGTTCCAGATTTGAACAACACGCTGCATGAAAACATTTCTTCTCACCTCCCCTTTGCTTCTTTTAGATACTATTTTAAATCTGTGACCTCGAGTCACCGACACACCCACCAGTGGAAACAGTTTTTCCCTTTCTAACCTATCAAATCCCCATATGATTTTGAAGACCTCTATTAGGTCTCCTCGTAACCTTCTCTGCTCCAATGAGAATAATCCCAGCCTCTCGTGCCTTTCCTCATAATCAAGGTCCCTCATTCCTGGTACCATCCTCGTAAATCTCCTCTGCATCCTTTCCAAGGATTCATTTACCTGCCCCCCCAGGTCTCTCTGTTCCTTCACCCCCCCTTATATTGCCTCCCATCATTCTTTCTACCAAAATGCGTTACATCGCATTTCTCCACATTGAAATTCATTTGCCACATGTCTGCCGATTGTACCATTCTTCCTGAACCAATGCGTGTTCCATTCGTCCGTTTCAGTTAGCTGGTGGGTTGTGCTCCTTGTAGCAATCTCGCACACATATCCCTGGTGCTGCTCCAGCAACAATATATTTGGATTATCTGACTGATGATGGATTTTCCAGTGCAGTGTCTTAATGTCACTCTGCAGCTTTATCAACAACAAATTACTTTTGTATATCGCCTTTCATGCCCGGAGGTTGTCCCAAGGTGCTGGACAGTAAAGGATTTGGACCCAAGCTGGGGGATGGGATCAGGAGGGGTGGAGGGCAGGGAGGTTAGGGGTTGGATAGTGACCGAAGGCACGGTCGAAGCAGAGAGTCTTGAAATCTGGCCTTGAAGGAGGCAAGGGAGGGAACAAAGCGAAGGAAAAAATATGTTGAGCTGTGGTAGTTGGCTCAGTTTACTTGAATGCAAGAAATGCCCTAGCGATCCATCCATCAGTGACTAGACAGCAAAGCTGTAAGATTAGCAAAGGGGAAGATTTGGAGAAATATTTTTTACACAGAGAATGTGGAATGCCCTGCCAGGCACAGCGGTCGAGGTGGAATCCATATTATAATAAATAATAATAATAATCCTTGCATTTGATATAGCGCTTTTCACGTCGGGAGGACGTCCCAAAGCGCTTCACAGAACACACTGTAAAGTGAATGACTGTATATTTGTGGGCGAACGTGGCAGCCAATTGCGCACAGCAATGTCCCACAAACAGTCGTAGATTGAAAATGACCAATTTATTATTGTTTTTGGTTTTGGAGGGATTATTATTAGGCTCTGTGTGGAGTAAGGAAACTTACCCAAGGTTTCGCCCTCTGCCTGGAATTGAACTCAGGTCTCTCGCTTGCAAAGCGAGTGCTCTTACCACTGAGCTACAGGACTCCACAAATAGTCCTTGCAATTGATATAGCGCCTTATCACATAGTTAAGACCCATCAATACGCTTCATGGAATATACTGTAAAGTGGATTGACTTGTGTGCGAAACTGAAAGTCTGAGAGATCCTAAGGTTAATTTCTGGTATGTGCAGAGTTATCTGATCTCAACTAAAATAGCTGTTAAGATGCAACCTTTGCAACTCATGCTATGGGGTGCTGGGGGAGGAGAGGAAAGCCAGGAATCCCATGCCCTGCTGGACAAAGTGCAAGTGTGTAGATATTGGGTGGATCAGATTTGCCTGTGCATTCGCATTTGAATGCAAATGCACAGGCAAATCTGGACCACTGGAACTCCATCCCAGAGCCCATCCTCCTCTGTCTCACCCAACCCTTGCCTCCTTGAAGGCTGGTCTCAAGACCTTCCTTTTGACCATGCCTTCAGTCATCCTCCCACCTTCACCCCACTTGCCCGCCACCCTTCTTGACTCTAACCCACAACTCGGGTTCAAATCCTTCATTCTCCAGCACCCCGGGACGTCCTCCCGATGTGAAAAGCGTTATATAAAAAATCAACCTGATGGTGTTGAATACCTGCCAGCACTTGCACATGAACTTCAACATGAGCAAAGTATCTGACAGAACTGATTTGCACCTGTACCCTAATAGAAGGAAAACAAAGCCAAAATCTTTCATAGAGTAGGGAAAAAAATCAATGGAAACAACAATTTATAGAATACTTTATGTAGGGTATTGTCTCCGATTCATTGTATGTGTGTGTTAGTTGGGGGGGAGTGCGTAGAAAATGTAAGAATGAGTAAGCTTGCATAACCTGATTGGCAAATGAGTCCTAGGAATTTACTGGACCTGCTTAAAAGTTTTTATTTATACAATGCTGTGTGCAAATTGGATGCCAAATTTGCCTACAAAATGCACAGTCATTATTTACAGTAAAATCCTGTGACTTTGAAATGCCTCAATATTGTGATTACCAAGCAAGGATGATTATCGTGAGTATTTGTGTCAATCTTGTAAAGAAACTATTTGATAAAGCCAGGCAGGATCGTTAGGAAATAATCATTGGTTGCTCTTTCTTTAAGGATTTGGCAGTGGTGTATTCTTCCCAACTGGGTGTTGGTAGAGAGATGGTGGAACGTGTCTTGGAGAGCTTGAGGTGTAATTCACTGCAAGGTCTCATTGCAAAGAAAGCCTTTGAGGACACTGGACTGGCGACAATACGAATCCATTATACAACTTGTGTAAGTACATCACTCTAGAACCTGTTTAACATTTGAATACAATATGTGGAGTCCTGTAGCGCAGTTGTTAACATGTTTGCTTCGCAAGTGAGATGACCCGGGTTCGAATTCCGGGTGGGGCAAAACCTTAGGCAAGTTTTCTTATTCCACATGTTTACCTAGCAGTAAATATCCCTGGTGCTGCTCCTGCAACAATGTATTTGGATTATTTGACTGATGATGGATTTTCCAGTGCATGTCTTAATGTCGCTTTACCAACAACAAATTACTTTTGTATATTGCCTTTCATGCCCGGAGGTTGTCCCAAGGTGCTGGACAGTAAAGGATTTGGACCCAAGCTGGGGGATGGGATCAGGAGGGGTGGAAGACAGGGAGGTTAGGGGTTGGATAGTGACCGAAGGCACGGTCGAAGCAGAGAGTCTTGAAATCTGGCCTTGAAGGAGGCAAGGGAGGGAACAAAGCGAAGGGAAAAATATGTTAAGCTGTGGTAGTTGGCTCAGTTTACTTGAATGCAGGAAATGCCCTAGCGATCCATCCATCAGTGACTAGACAGCAAAGCTGTAAGATTAGCAAAGGGGAAGATTTGGAGAAATATTTTTTACACAGAGAATGTGGGACATCCTTCCAACGTGAAAGGAGCTCTATAAATGGAATCTTGTTGTTGTTGTTGGAATGCCCTGCCAGGCACAGCGGTCGAGGTAGAATCCATATTATAATAAATAATAATAGTCCTTGCAATTGATATAGCGCCTTATCACAAAGTTGAGACGCATCAATTCGCTTCACGGAATATACTGTAAAGTGGATTGACTGTGTACTTGTGTGTGAAACTGAAAGTCTGAGAGATCCTAAGGTTAATTTCTGGTATGTGCAGAGTTATCTGATCTCAACTTGAGTAGCTGTTGAGATGCAACCTTTGCAACTCATGTTATGGGGTGCTGGGGGAGGAGAGGAAAGCCAGGAATCCCATGCCCTGCTGGACAAAGTGCAAGTGTGTAGATATTGAGTGTTTCGGACCTGAGCTGTGGGTCGGGGTTGGGAAGGGGGGAAGGAGGGTGAACGAAGGCACAGTCGAAGAAGAGGGTCTTGAGATGGGTCTTGAAGGAGGCAAGTGAGGGGGCAAGGTGGAGGGACCGGGGGATGGAGTTCCAGAGGATGGAGGCAGAGTGACTGAAAGCCTGCCCACCAATGTCTGCGTTGGAGGAGGATAGAGTGGTCAACGGTATTGAAGGCAGCAGAGAGGTCAAGGAGGACGAGGAGGCAGAGGGAGCCCTGTTTGCAGATGGACAAAATATAATTTGTTACTTTGACTAAAGCTGTTTCTGTGCTGTACAGAAACCCGATTGGAGGGGTTTGTGGAGGGAGAGGAAGGAGTGAAGTTGGGAAGCAACGACTAGTTCCAGAACCTTGGAAAGGAAAGGGAGGTTGGAGATGGGGCGGTAATTTGAGAGCAGAGATGGATTTAGGGAGGGTTTTTTAAGGATAGGAGTGATTGTGGCCATTTATAAAGGGATGGGAACGGTGCCAGTGGAGTAGGGAAGCAAGGAGGTGGAGTCGGGAAGTAAGGAGACGGGCAGGGATGGGGTCGAGTGAGCAGTTGGTGGGTTTCATGTGGGTTATAGTGGTGGTGAGAGAGGAGGGGGAAACAGGTTCAATAGTGTGGAGGGAGGGGTCGGTAGCAGCTGGGGTGTGAGGGGGAGATGGGAGGGGGTAGTAGATAGAAGGGCAGAGGCAGCTGATAGTTGTCCACATTTTGGAAAATAACCTTTTTAAGAAAGGCATCAAAATTATAAGGTGACTGATGCCGAGAGGTTTCAGTGATATCAAAACGCCTCTCAATCATATTTCAACAGTCACCAATGTGATTTGTGCCAAGTCCAACACAAACCTAATTCATTATTTTTGATTTGGTCAAATGCCTTTACTAGATATAGTGCTAGAATTGTAAGGTGATGAGAATTATGGACGTTGTCAGCCTTGCTCAGTTGGTAGCACTAGTCAGATGTTGTGAGTTCAAGACCCAAATCGAGACTTTGAGCTTAGGCTGACACTCCAGTGTGGAACTGAGAGCTACATTGTTGGAGGTGTTGACTTTCGAATGAGGCATCAAACAGAGTTTCCATCTCCCTATTCAGGTGGTCGTTAAAGATCTCACTTCACTATTTGAAAAGAGACTACACTTTAAAGTAGATTCTGTGAAGCGCTTTGAGATGTTCAGTAACGTAAATTAGATTTTTTTAAAAATCAACAAATTTAATAATCCTTAATAATCCTTGCATTTGATATCATCATCTTTACATTTGATATAGCACCTTATCACATCGTTAGGACGTCTCCAAGCGCTTCACAGAATATACTGTAAAGTGAATTGACTGCATATTTTGTGGACGAAAAGTTATCGTCTTGATTCAACCATAATTCAACACGAGCTAAAGGAACGATGAACATAAACTTAATCATAACTTGAAAAGATCTCTTCCTATTGTACAGGTATAACTTTTGTTGTACTTATAATACCAGTTCAAAACTGGTGAGAAATTATTGAGAAATTACATTGAAATGTCAATCACTCCACATTAGTTGTTTTAAGAGAGGAGGCTTTAATCATCCCATCAATCAGGATTGGGTTTGAACTCAGGTTGTACAGAACCAAAAATGTCCCTTTGGCTGGTCCAAAGTACACCAAAAGTCATCCTGCAAAGCTCTTGCCTCTTATACCACTCATTTAAATTTTTCGGCCATTCTCTCTAATCCTCTCTTGAATTTACTGCACTTCTGGCTCCACTGATTCCATGGGTCGTCTGTTCTATTAAGCGCTCTGGGACGGTTCCCTGCTTGAGGGGCGCTACATAAGTGCAAGTTGTTGTTATGGATTTGCTGCTTTATGTGGAAAATAATTTTGAAAATTGATGGTACAATCTTAAAAGGGTTCAAGGAACAGAGAGACCTGAGGGTTCATATAAGTAAATCTTTGAAGATGACAAGACAGGTAGATAAAGCTGTTAAAAAAGCATACGGGATACAGGTTTTATAAATAGGGGCACAGAATACAAAAGTCAAGAAGTTATGATGAACCTTTATCAAACACTGGTTAGGCCTCAGCGAGAGACTGGGTTCAGTTCTGGGCACCACACTTTAGGAAGGATGTCAAGGCATTGGAGAGGCTGCAAAGGAGATTTACCAGGATGGTACCAGGAATGAGGGACTTCAGTTATCAGGAGAAGCTAGGATTATTCTCCTTGGAGCAGAAAGGTTAAGAGAAGACTTAATAGAAGTTTTCAAAATAATGAGGGGATTTGATCGGATGAACAAGGAGAAACTGTTTCCACTGGCGGGTGGATTGGTAACACGAGAACACTGATTTAAAATAGTTGTTAAAAGAAACAGAGGGGAGGTGAGGAGAAATTTTTTCACACAGCAATTTTTCGGATCTGGAAGGCATTGCCTGAAAGGGTGGTGGAAACCGATTCGATAACAACTTTTACGAGCGAAGTAGATAATTGTTTGGGGAGGACAAGTTTGCAGGGCTATGGGGAGAGAGTGGGGAGTGGGATTGATTGGAGGCGGCACAGATATGATGGCCTCCTTCTGTGCTGTATAATTCTATGATAATTGCATTTGAATTGTTTGGCCTTCTGCCTCTGAACTTCAGTGCATCTCTCTTTTTCCTAGATTTTCTTCTATATTTCAATCCTAATAATGTATCTGTTAGTCCGGCTCAGTTGGGAGCACTCTTGTCTCAGAAAATCAGAAGGATTGGCCTCAAGCCCCGTGTTGGGACTTGGAATCTGGGCCAATATAAAAGTGTGGCCGCACTTTTTCTCGGAGTACGCTACAAACGTCCTCCTCTACTACAAGCATGCCAGAAATTCCCCCCTCCACGACTAACCTGTACACACAGTGTACTGGGCCCCGCTATACACCTTCACACATAGTGTGCTAGGCCCCGGGCCTCTTGGGAGCCAGTAGAACCTGGGAGACAGTGGAACCTGACAAGGACCTTAGACTATATGGGTTCCAAGCTGGGCAAATAGAAAAGTGCGGAAATATTTGCAATTAATTATGGGGCGTTTGAAAAACTATTGAGGGCTGATTGGGCAATTGAGAGACGCATTTTTTGAAACGACCCGGATTAAAACTATAGCCATATATTTCCTGAACATAGTTATGTTTAAGGTACAAAAAATGTTAATGTGAATAGTACAGCACTTACCAAGAATTTGTTGCAGGAGCTCAGTTTAGGCCATGAGTGCTGGGCAAAGCTAATTTCCTGCTTGCGCCACTTCCACGATCCCGACACTCCCCGCACTGAGCATGTGCGACTGGAGCCACTCCACCCACAGTAGCAACTTCGAGCAAATGCTTGTTTTTGGCCCAGCTTGGAACCCATATAATATAGACTGACAATCCTGGAGCTATGCAACTTGCATTTATATAGCACCCTTCACGTGGGGTAGCATTCCGGAGCGCTTGACAGTGGCGGAGTTTGACACTGAGAATGGGGAGGAGGACGGAGGTGACAGTAAGCATGATCAAAAAGAGGGATTTAAAAGTGGGGAGGGAGGGGGAAAGGCAGAGGGATAGAAGGAGAGACTTCCAGAGTTTCATGGCGTAGTGGCTGAAGGCCCTGCCACCGATGGTGGAGGGGACGAGGGACGAACAGGAGACTGGAGCCAGACAAGCGGAGGTATTGGTGGAGTTGGGGGTAAGCAGGTCGGATAGGATGGGAGGTGCGAGGGCATGAGGGATTTGAAAACAAATGAGAGGATCTTGAAATCGATCCATTCAGTAATTGGGAGCCAGTGGAATCTGGGAATGACTGGTGTGATGGAGATATGGATTTTATGCGGGTGAGAATCTGGGTGGCCAGGTTCTGAATTTTGTATGGTGGACCTGGGGAGACCAGCAAGGAGGGCATTCGAGTAGTCCAGTCCAGAAGTGTCAAAGGTGTGGATGAGGGTTTCAGCTACTACAATCCTACTTTCACCTACTAAGGCGGATGAGGGAATAGAGGAGGATGGTGTGGTGGACTGTGTCAAGCCTGGCGGAGAGGTCGAGGAGAACTAGGAGGCAAAGAGAGCCCTGGTCACAGAGAGCGCGGACGTCATTTGTTACTTTGATGAGTGCTGTCTCTGTGCTGTGGGCAGGGCAGAAACCAGACTGGAGGGGTTTGAGTAGGGAATGGAAGGAGAGGTGGGAGTGAAGTTGATTTGCATCAACGCTTCATCTGGCTGATGATGGGGGAAAGGGAGGCGGGAGAGATGGGGCCAAAGGAGTGTAGGATGTGTGCCGTGCTAGGTGGAGAGGGTGGTGTGGGAGGCATTGGGGTGGGTGAGATGGGGGGAGGAAGAGGCAACAACCAGGCGGATGTTGTCCATCTTGGAGTTAAAAAAGTCCACTTGGCATCTGAAGTGAGCAGATAATGATAATTAAGGTCCTGTCAGTCTGTCTAGGTGGATATTAAAGATCCCGTTACACTATTTAATGAGAAGGGAATTTCTCCTGGTGTCATGGCCCTCACTCCATCGCTGTTTGTGGGACACTGCTGTGGGCATATTGCCTTTTTTTTATATAATCTTAAATGCTTCATTTACATTTCCCTTGAGGCTTCTCTTTAATGTGAACATTCCTGGCTATTATCACCTGTCCTCCATGATATCCATGTTTTACACAGATATTGTGTGAAATGGTCCATTATTTGTTCACTAAAGATGGTTGCATCTGTTCAATCAATCACATTGGTATTTGTTGCATTTCAGGATAAGAGAAAAGAAAAAATAAAGCTGTTGATTACATTAAATGCTTCAGCCAGAGAACTGGGGACTGAGTAAGTACTATCTGATTTACTTAAAAATACCCTTCGCTGCACTTGGCAATTACCTGTGAACTGCTTTGGAGACATTTCAACATTATAGGGGCTATATCAAATGTAAAGGTTATTATTTGTGCTTAATTGTGTAGAATTTACCTTATTAAATGATGACAATCCTTGGCATTTGATATAGCATCTTTTACGATGGGTAGCTAGGATATACTGTAAAGTGTAGTGATTGTATTATTAGTGTATTAGCCTGGCTTAGTTGGTAGAGCTCTCGCCTCTAAGTAAGAAGGTTGTGGGTCCAAACCCATGTTGGGACTTGGCACTCGTATAATATAAGATGACACTGTAGTGCTGGGGTTGCGTTGCATTGTAGGAGATGCTGTCCTTCGGATGAGCAGTTAAACTGCGTGTTCAGGTGGAAGGTAAAGCTCTCCTGGCACTATGCAAAAAGAGAAGGGAGTTTCTCCCGGTGTCCTGGCCATCATTTCCTTGAAATAAAATTGGTCACTTGCTTGTTTGCCTAATTCTGTAAAGTATTAGACTCAGGTTGGCAGGAGCCCAGGCTTGGGGACTCCAGGATGTGTGCTTGGGCTTGCTGGAGTCGAACCAGATAAAAAAACGCATAACTTGCCATTGATACATTGTCAAGCTTTCCCCACTGCTTGTCCATCTAGAACAACCCTACCCAATAGGGCTTTAACTAGCAGGGTTAACAGTAGCCGTGTGGGAGAATTCCCTGTGCCCAGTGATTGGTTTGCCCTTCCAAGTCCTGCTGATGACCCAGGCATCAGCAGTGTCCTGGAGTACTTCAGACCCACCTTGCTCAAGAACTGCCACAGAGGGGGCTGGCTCGATTCCAATATTCTGTTACCAGCCATGTCACTTTGGAGCCAGTTCAGCTTCAAGGAGAGCCCACGTGTAAACACTGGCACTGACAAATTGGGCCAAGTGGCCTGTCAGCGTACTGTACAATCTGTATATAAATCCAGTCTGATCTTTAATTGTTAACAGAATTGCAAGATTGACTGGAATGAGTGAAGGCCACATGAAACTCATCATGAACTCCAAAGTTCTTAAAATGGGTAAGTTGGATACACAGTTGGAATTTGGAGGTTTTACAGAATGTAAAGGCATTGTTACTTAATTGGGGTGTTTTAACTGATATCATCAAGATGAGGGACGTTAATGGCAACCAATGTTAACATTGAACAAGTATAGCATGTTCAATGCAGATATGAGCTGCCCTCGTACTGCCTGAACACCGTAACTTGCAGCAAGAAAAACGACTGTTATTTATATTGTGCCCTTCACATGAGAGAATTTCGAGACCATAGAATCATAGAATTATACAGCACAAAAGGAGGCAATTCGGCCCAATGTGTCTGTCTTGGCTCTTCGAAAAGAGATATCCAATCAATCCCACTCCCCCACTCTCTCCCCATAGCCCTGAAAACTTGTTTTCCCCAAATAATTATCTACTTCTCTCGTAAAAGTTGTTATCGAATCGGTTTCCAGCACCCTTTCAGCCAATGCCTTCCAGATCCGAATAATTGGCTGTGTGAAAAAAATTCTCCTCAACTCCCCTCTGTTTCTTTTAACAATTATTTTAAATCAGTGTCCTTGGGTTACCAACCCACCCGCCAGTGGAAGTAGTTCACCTTGTTCACCTGATCAAATCCTCTCAGAATTTTGAAAACATCTATTAAGTCTCCTCTTAAATCTTCTCCGCTCCAAGGAAAATAATCCTAGCTTCTCCTGATAACTGAAATCCCTCATTCCTGGTACCATCTTGGTAAATCTCCTTTGCACCCTATCCAATGCCTTGACATCCTTCCTATAGTGGTGCCCAGAACTGAACCCAGTCTCTAGCTGAGGCCTAACCAGTGTTTTATAAAGGTTCATCATAACTTCCTGACTTTTGTATTCTACGCCCCTATTTATAAAGCCTAGTATCCCGTATGCTTTTTTAACAGCTTTATCTACCTGTCCTGCCACCTTGAAAGATTTACTTATATGAACCCTCAGGTCTCTCTGTTCCTTCACCCCCTTTAAGATTGTACCATCAGCTTATATTGCCTCTCCTCATTCTGCCTCCGAAAAGGCATCACTTCGCATTTCCCCACATTAAACTCCATCTGCCACACATCTGCCCATTTTACCAGTCTAAGTCCTCTGCAGTGTGCTACTATCTTCCTCACTATTTACTACTTTTCCTAGCTTAGGGTCATCTGCAAACTTGGAAATTGTACTTCCTGTACCCAAGTCCAGATCATTTATATAGATCAGAAAGAGCAGTGGTCCCGATATCAATCTCTACCACTGCTCACTTCCCTCCAGTCAGAGAAACAATTGTTCATCACCACTCTCTGCTTTTTGTCTGCCAACCTGTTCTGTATCCATGCTGCCACTGTCCCTTTAATACCGTGGACTTCTATTTTGCTTACAAGTCTGGGTTAATAAAGGACAGCCAACATGGATTTGTTAAAGGCAAATCGTGTCTAACAAACCTGATAGATTTTTTGATGAAGTAACGGAGAGGGTGGATGAAGGTAGTGCAGTTGATATAGTTTATATGGATTTTCAAAAGGCGTTTGATAAAGTGCCACATAAAAGACTCCCGGATTATAGTCTCTAGAAGTTACCCCACTACTGATGTTAGGCTGACTTGCCTGTAGTTCTTGGATTTATCCTTCTGCCCCTTTTTGTACAGGGGAGTAATATTTGCAACCCTCCAGTCCTCTGACACCACTCCAGTGCTCAAGGAGGATTGAAAGATTGTGGACAGAACCTCCAGTAGTATTTCTACTCTTACTTCCCTCAGTAACCCAGGATGCATCCTGTCTGGACCGGATTACTTATCTACCTTGAGCGCCATCAACCTTTTTCATACCTCCTCTCAGTTTATTCTTATCTTACCCAATGTGTCTACTCTCTCCTCCAATACTCTGGCATTGGCTGCATCCTCTTCCTTTGTGAAGACAGATGCAAAATACTCATTCAGTAGTTTGCATTGTGGAGTCCTGTAGCTCAATGGTTAGAGCGCTCGCCTCGCAAGTGAGAGACCTGGGTTTGATTCCTGGTAGGGCAAAAACCTTGGGCAAGTTTCCTTACTCCACATGCCTGATAATAATCCCTCAAGGAAAAAAAAAACAATAAATTGGTCACTTCAATGCACGATTGTTTGTTGGACACTGCTGTGCTCAATTGGCTGCTCAATTCACTTCACAGTATATTCCGTGAAGCGCTTTGAGACGTCTAGAAGAGGTGAAAACGCTATATCAAATGCAAGGATTATTATTATTATCAGTACATCAGCCATGCCCTCTGCCTCCACAAGAAGATTTCTTCTTTGGTCCCTAATTGGCCCCATCCTACCTTTGACTAATCTTTTATTCTTTATATGCTTACTTAGAGTTCCATTTTATGTTGCCCGCTAATCTTTTCTCATACAATCTCTTTGCCCCTCTTATTTCCTTTTCCAGTTCTCCACTGTACTTTCTATATTCTATTTGATTATCTTCTGTATTTTGGACTTGACATTTATCATAAGCCTCCTTTTTCTGTTTTATTTTAATTCCAATTTCCTTAGTCATCCAGGGAGGCTTATGGGAATGTATTTGTTCTGTATCCGAACTATCCCCTCCTCGAAGGCTTCCCATTGCTCGTTAGCTGTTTTATCTGCCAATCTTTCTTTCCAGTCCACCTTGGCCAGGTCCCTATTTAACTCACTTAAATTAGTCCTCTTCCAACTGAGTATCTTTACTTTTGATTTTTCCTTGTCCCTTTCCATAAGTACTCTAAACCTAATGATGTTGTGATCACTGTTGTCCAGATGCTCTCCTACTGAAATCATTCCCCAGAACTAGATCCAGCACAGCTTCCTTCCTCGTTGGTCTGGTAATGTACTGATTCTGAAAGTTTTTCTGCATACATTTCAGGAATCCTTCCCCCTCCTTGCCCTTTACACTGTTATTTTGTCAGTCTTTGTTAGATAATTGAAGTCCCCCATTATCACTACTGGTCTTGCATTGTTCTGAAATCTGCTTGTAGATTTGCTCATCTATCTCCTTCCTACTATCTGGTGGTCTATAGTTTACACCTAACAAAGTAACAGCTCCTTTCCTGCTGCTTAACTCTAACCAAATAGATTCTGTTTTTGGACCCTCTAGCACATCGTCCCTCTCCAGGCCGTAACCGTGTCCTTAATCAATATTGCCAGCCCCCCACCTTTTTTTCCTTCCCTATCCCTCCTGAATACATTGTAGCCAGGAATATTCAGCTCCCATTCCTGCTCTTGTGTGAGCCAGGTCTCAGTTATTTCCACTACATGATAACCCCATGTGGCAACTTGAGCCTGCAGCTCACCGACCTTATTTGTCACATTCCATGCGCGCATTTCCACACATGCACTCCATGACTGACTTAGACTGCTCTGCATTTCTCCCCGTCTATTTCTTCCTTTTTCTGGACTACTCCTTATTACGTTGCTATTCATCTCTCAGTCTGCTATGTAACTTGTTTCTCCTCTCTGATGTTACATCCTGACATCAGTGGTAGAGAAAATTCTAGAGTCTTTAATTGGGGACGTCGTCGTGGGGCACTTAGAAAGTCATAATATGAATAGGCAGAGTCAACATGGTTTTATGAAAGGGAAATCATGTTTAACAAATCTTTTAGTTTTTTTTGAAGATTTAACTAGCAGGTTATATAGGGGGGAACCAGTGGATATAGTGTATTTGGATTTTCAGAAAGCATTCGACAAGGAGTCACATAAAAGTTTGTTACATAAGATTAGGGCTCATGGAATTAAGGTTAATACATTAGCATGGATTGAAGAGTGGTTAACAGGCAGAAAACAGAGAGTAGGGATAAACGGGTCCTTCTCAGATTGGCAGGTTGTGACTAGTGGAGTGCCGCAAGGATCAGTGCTTGGGTCTCAACTGTTTTACAGTCTACATCAAGGAAATAGAGCTTAATGTATCTAAAGTCGCGGATGATACAAAGCTAGGTGGGAAAGTAAGCTGTGAGGACACAAGGAGGATGCAAAGGGATATAGACAGGTTAAGTGAGTGGGCAAGAAGGTGGGAGATGGAGTACAATGTGGGGAAGTGTGAAGTTATTCACTTAAGTAGAAAAATAGAAAAGCAGATTATTTTATAGGAAGGGGGAGACTAGGTCGTGTTAGTATTCAGAGGGATTTAGATGTCCTTGTACACCAATCACAGAAAGTTAGTATACAGGTACAGCAAGCAATTAGAAAGGCTAATACAGGAGTGGGTAATTATTTTGGCTGGTGGGCCACTTCACAAGCTTTGGTAAGCTTCCCGGGCCACACACTTAATATAGATGCAAATGCTTAATAATAGCTCAAAATCAAGTCTTACACTTGTACATGCATAAAATAAAGTGTATATAATTGACATTCATTAAAATGAGGTTAAATAAAAACAACTAATTGAACAGACATTTATTTGATATTTATTCATTTATTCACATATTGATGAGAATGTGAGAAGCTCACTCAATGGAAAGAATGAAATCGCTGATGTGCGTTAACCAGACATTTGAAATCAGGCACCGTCTCCGTTGTTGCAATGTGGAGTACTACTGCAAGGTGGTCATCAGTCATCCCAGATCTATGTTTTGATTTATTGCATTTCACAGAAAATGTCTCCTTGCATGTTGATCCAAACAGCACAAGCATCCTCCGGGCATGAGCCTTTATTTTTTGAAAGGTATATTCATTAAGAGAGGTGTAAAAACTGGGATTGATTTGAATTGCTCCGCAAGCAATGGATCACATTGCAGGTCAAAAAGCTTGAGTTGGAGGTCAAATGGAGCTTTGTCAACATCAAATGAGAAAGGTGAAGAGACCAAAGAGAGGTCATTTTCGATCAAATTGAAATCCTGGAATTGGCGAGAAAATTCAGCATGTAAGTCAACTAGTGAAGAAGTATAATTTTTTTAGGCTTTGATCGCAAACAGTAATCTGCTGCAAAGTTGGAAAGTGGGCGAACTACCCGTTTCCTATCTGAAACGATAAAAGAAATAATTTTATCATAAATGACTTGACACTGCAATA